AAAGCTACACAGAGAAACCTTGTCTCGAAAAACAAAACAAAACAAAACAAAACAAAACAAAAAAAAAAACACCTCAGAGTGTTTGAGGCCAATTAATTTAAGTAGGCAGTTCCAGACCATCCAAGGCTACATGATGGAACCCTGTCTCAAAAACAAAACAAAACAACTCATAGAATTTAAAAACCCCATTACATCTAGTTTAAAAAAAAATCTCTTCTAAAAACCTGGACAATCAAAAGGTAGCGTAGTTAGTAAGCTGAACACTAAGGCAGTAATTTCTGAAGTGTGATCCCTGGGTGTGCCGAATCATTGTCTTGGAACCTGGTAGGAATGCAGCCAGGTTTGAGGTGAGAACCGGAGATGAGCATGTCAGCAACAGCAATCCTCTAGGTATGCTTGCTCAGGTTAGACAGTACAGACGAGTTCCACAAAGCCCTGAGTACTTTGTTCTGCTGGATGAGCAGGTCCTCAACAAGAACAATCTGGTTCCCAGGCATCCAGTACACCCTCTACAGTACAGCTTCATTTAGTATCACCCAATCAACAGCTGGCTAGACAATAGCACCATTAGTTTATTTCACAGGAAGTCAGAGCTTCTTAAAAGCTAGGATGCATCACTCCACGCTATACTAACTTCTAAACACCCTATGTAGTTGGGTGTGGTAGTACACACCTTTAGTCTGAACAATTTGGGGGGTAGGGGCAGAAATATACCTGTGAGTTTGAGGCCAGTCTGGTCTATATAGAGAATTCCAGGACAGCAGTGGTTCTCAACCATCCTAACTCTGCGACCCTTTAATACAGTTTCTCATGTTGTGGTGACCCCAATCATAAAATTATATTCGTTGCTATTTCATAACTGTAATTTTGCTACTGTTATGAATCATAATGTAAATAGTTTCAGAGTCAGAGGTTTGTCAAAGGGGTCGAGACCCACAGGTTGAGGACCACTGCCAAACAGACATCTAACAGTAAGTAAATGGTGTACATATCTGGGACTGTTAATTAGCAGACCCCTACCTCCAGTTCTCTAGCAAATAATCCATGTTTACAAAGTGTTGTATGCTTTGAAATCTAAGTGAAAAACTCATTTCTAATTCTGTCAAATATAAAAGCAGGGCTTACTAGTGGATCTCTATGCAACTCAACTATAAAACAGAATATAAAAGGTAAACTTTCTTTTATCTTTAAAAAGCATTCTACTTTTGGGCCGGAGAGATGGCTGAATCATTAAGAGGTCTTGCAGACCCAGGCTTAGTTCCCAGCACCCACACTGTATGATTCACAACCACCCGAAATTCCAGTTCTAGGAGGCTGGACACACCATCTTCTAACCCCAAATATTTAGTTTTTCTGAACTATGATGAACTTTTATATTCCTATCCATAAAGGCAAATAGTAATGTGAAATCAAACACATGAGAGAACAGAATAGTGTATAAGGAGGGAAAAAATTATTGTTGCAAATTATGTTTATTTATATTTACACTACATATAAAAGCCAGAGCTTCTTTTTTTGCTTTTTCGAGACAGAGTTTCTCTGTGTAGCTTTGCGCCTTTCCTGGAACTCTCTTTGGAGACCAGGCTGGCCTCGAACTCACAGAGATCCACCTGCCTCTGCCTCTGCCTCCCGAATGCTGGGATTAAAGGCATGCACCACCACCGCCCGGCGTAGCCAGAGCTTCTTAAAAGCTAGGATGCATTGGTCCACAAATTTAATCTCAGCACTCAGGAAGCAGAAACAGGTGGGTCTCTGTGAGATGAAGCCAGCTTGGTTTACATAGGTAGTTCCAGGCCAGCCAGTTATATGGTGAGATATATACTGTCACAAAAGGAAGCCCACCCCCCACACATGAATATAATCATTTAAAATTTAAAATGCCTAGGCTAAGTAAAATATCTTTTTACACACATACATACACACACACACTCACACAGAGCAAAGCTGCTCTAGTCATAATAACCAATGACCATCATCTGGTAAAATAATTTTTTTAAAAAAAATGGTACATCTGATGAAATACTAATTAGCAAAAAAAGAAAGGAACTATTAATATACTTGAAAACACAAATCTGAAAAGCATTATGCACCCAGACAATGGTAGTGCATGCCTTTAATCCTGGCACTTGGAAGCAGAGGCAGGCAAATCACTGCGTTTCAAGTTCCAGGAAGGCCAGGGCTATACAGAGAAGCCCTGTCTCTAAAAACCAAAATAATAATAATAATAATAATAATAATAATAATAATAATAATAAATGGCTAGGCAGTAGTGGTACACAACTTTGATCCCAGCACTCGGAGAAGCAGGGGCAGGTGGATCTCTGAGTTTGAGGCCAGCCTGATCTACAGAGTTGAGTTCCAGGACAGCCAGGGTTACATAAAGAAACACTGTCTCGAAAAAACAAAAACAAAACAAGAAGCAAATAAATAAACAAACAAAAAATATGCATAGCCAGGGATACTTATGTCAACCCTGTCTCAGAAAGAAAGGAGGCAGGCCCACAGGCATATGTTACATGGATGAAGCTACCCACAGCAGTACTCACAGCAGTAAGGAGGCTGAAGCAGAAGATGAGTTTGAGGCCAACGTCAGCTACACTGTGAGACTGTCTCAATTTTTTTTTAAAGTTATACATTTTATGGTCCCACTTACAAAAAAGGTCAAACTACAGGGACAGAAACAGCAGCAGTGTTTGCCAAGGGCCTGGAGAGGCTATCAGAGGCCACAGGAGACCCTTCCAGATGGAAGTGTTCTGTACCTTGACTGTGGTGGTGTCCACATGACTGCTCACCAATGTCTACCTCCAAAGTGTTGGTGTTGTGTCCACACCCCTGCCTAACTGAAGAGCTTCTCACCAGACGGATATGTCTCTTTCACTGCTGTCCTTCATGCACCGGGAAAAGTCTAACTTACGTTGTGTAGTAGTGACAGGTAAGGGCGGGCTATGCTAAAAGTGACACCAGATGTGACAGTGACACAGGCCCAAAACTGTGGCTGACACACAGCTATTTCCATATCAGGCCTACGCAAGAACTACAAGCAGAACATGGCAAGGTGAGTTAGTGCAACCAGCTGGAAAGACCATCATAAGCCTCTTGATTTTAGCAATGCTGAAACCTCAGATCCATTAAATGACATAAGAACAGGGTATCCTTCACAACCTAAGTTTGTTCTCTCTTACTCAGTGGTGGCAGGGATTGAGCTGGGGGCTTCATGTATAAAAGACCATCACTCTATCACTGAACTACATCTCCAGCTCTTAGGTTGTTTTTAAAAGACAAAAGTAGTAATTCTAAATATACACACACAAAAATCACAAAACAGCAAATTGACAAAGAACAGGTAAAGAATGAGCCACTTCAGTCTATAATAATCACAGTACCACCTAAACCATGCATTCCAGACTAAAATTAGATTTCTCCTTATCCCTCCCCATTGAAACATACATATTAAAGTCAAGCGTGTCGGAGCATGCCTTTAATTCCAGCACTTGGGAGGCAGAGCCAGGCGGATTTCCGTGAGTTCACGGACAGCCTGGTCTACAGAGCTAGATCCAGGACAGGTACCAAAGCTACAAAGAGAAACCCTGTCTCAAAGGGGGGGGGGGGATCAAAGCCAATCAATCGATTTACTTGCTTCATTTTTTTTTTTAGAGTGGCCTGATTGATCATCAATCAGGTTAAAGGTAAGTGTCTTCAAAAGAACATAAAAAGGTCTCAGGATGCCAAGCTTGATGGCATGTGTCTGTAATTCTCAGCTATGGGGAGAATGAGGCAGAATGCTCCTTTGAGCAGCCCAAGAAACACAGCAAGAACTATGAAATGAAGGGAAGCAGGGAGAGAAAAAAAAAAAAGGAAGGGAAAGGGAGAGGAGGAAGAAAAGGAGAAAGTTCTAATTTAAGCTCTCCTAATTAGGTAATTTTCTAATCTTTCTCAGGTGGAAGAACATATACAACCATATATTAATATATTACAGAGATGATTTAGACTAAATTACTCAATACCTATCAAGTACCAAGTGGCATTTCGAAGATTAAAATGAAGGCATTGGATGTCACTAGGTCACCGTATCTAAGGATGGTTTGCAAAGCATGAAAACACCCGGAGCATGGAAGCTTTTCCAAAGAGATGGCATTTTGTTGCCAGCAGTTACCTCATAGCTCTGTATAATGAAAGGCCAGTGAAGTTTCTTTACAAGTTATTTGCTAAATGCTTTACAGAGGACAAAGCTAGGCTGGAACACTTTGGAATCTGATGCGGCAGAAGGGTTCAAAAAAAAAAAAAAAAAGCACACTCGGGCAGGTCAAATATTTCTTCAATAGAACTTCTACACATCTGTGACTCCCTAGCAGTGCGGTTCCAGGTTGTTGTTTGGTTTGTTTGTGAAGGTCCTTTCGAACAAAATCCTTTTATACAGATTTGCTGGGTGTGCACACTGAAATGGGCCTGAGAGCTCCTCTAAGTCGCAGCGGAAGGAAAAGCCAGCTCAGTGGGTGTCTCTCAGCTGGGCAGCAGGACAGAGCGGAGCTTCATGCCACATCTGCCTCTCAAAACGCTTAGCCCACCGCTTCCGAACAGATTTTAATTTGCAAGGACGGGAAGCTACTCCTTGATAAAGGCGGCCACTCTAGAGCTCTTCGGTCTTCAGGAACTACGGGGGCCCACAAGGATCTCTCCGTGGGGCACTGAGTTTTAGCGGTTGTCATTAAGCTTAGTCCCATCTTAAAGGACCGTCCGCTTGACCCGACTGAACGCTATTAATTTGCACCAAGGACAGGCAGGATCTTAACCTGCCCGGTGTGAAAGCAGAGGTGGGTTCCAACAGGCACCGGCCGCGGCAGCGCACGGACGGGGAATGCTCAGCAGACCGTAAGGGCAGCGCGCAGGCCGCACGCGCGCTGCAGGACAGGGCTGCGCCTTGACCCCAGCCTGGAGCATCTGGGCTAGGTCCCCCTGCTACCACCCTGAGGGGCTGCCACCCTGCAGCGCAGTCCACTCACGTTTTCAGTGTCTCGTTCATTCACCGTTGGCAGAGGGGTCCTAGTGGACATCTTAGTGCGCTTTGATTCTGCACAACGCCAAGGCGAAAACAAAACCGCCCAACTCGGGGCGGCCGGCGAGCAGCGGCCGTGAGCCTCCGGGCCCTGCCCTCCCCGGCCGGAGTCTAGATCCCCGGCCTGGCCC